AATTATAATTGAAGATATTATTGGTTTATTTCTCCAAATGACTATATATATTTTTTTCAGGTTTTGTACAGATTGTATATGTGTTATGATTATTTTTAGAAAAATTAAAATAGTTAATTAATTTTTTTTGCGCATAATCCAACTTTGTCCTATAAGCTACAAATCATTGATCAAGCTTTACATAAAATAATTTTTGAACAAATATAACAAAATAGATGGCAAACTTTGGTTCTTGCTAGTTATTAATAGCTACTTGAACTTAACTATTATTTTAACTTGATGGTTGGATTTGTTAAAGACTTAAAATGGATTGAAAATGTTGAACACATTTCCTCAACTTAAACGTGTCTAACTATTTGGAGATGGACTAACATGTATTCTTCTTCTTCTTCTTCTTGTTTNACAAACTTTGTTAATTATCCAAAACAAACTTCAAGTTGCCTTTTTTAAATAAGTTTATTAATTGAATATATATATTTAGAAATACGAAGATTGTAGTTAGATGGTCTACCAAATGGGTAAATTCATAATACTGTTTGATAAACGTTATATGTTATACACACATTGTAAGATAATATTATTATTACTTTTTTTTTTTTTCAAAACGAGTTAAAATTATATTGTTTTTTGATACCGAGGTTCCAGACTTGCATCTGACTAATCCTCGAGGAAACAGCTCCTGCTCCTCAGACACTGCCTCCAGTTAAACCGCGGTAGCCACACAATGGCTCCCAATTTCATACCCTCAACTACCGCGCACAAGGAGTCGATCCCCAAGTGATCGCTCGCTGGCCCTCCCAGGTAGCCACACAATGGCTCCCAATTTCATACCCTCAACTACCGCGCACAAGGAGTCGATCCCCAAGTGATCGCTCGCTGGCCCTCCCAGCTCCAAGTTGGAGCCACCTATCCAGCCGCTGGTTCCCACCGGTTAAACCGGTGTAGCCACACAATGGCTCCCAATTTCATACCCTTGGAGCCACCTATCCAGCCGCTGGTTCCCACCGGTTAAACCGGTGTAGCCACACAATGGCTCCCAATTTCATACCCTCAACTACCGCGCACAAGGAGTCGATAGTGATCGCTCGCTGGCCCCCCCAACTTCATATTGGCCCCACCTATTCAGCCGCTGGTTCCCAGCGAGTTTCAACCCCCCCACACTGCCGCTTCTAGTCCTCAGTATTAATTGTTCCACCACTGCGCTCTGGGTACTTGAACCCTTGACCTCATGTCAAGGGTGCCTCACTCTTACCATTAGGCCAAGAGGTCATTGACAGTTAAAATTATATTGTTGCTTAAAGTGTTGGTATCTCAAGGTATATAAGTGTTAAAGATTCGTCTAAGTTATTTGAACAACTGGGCAATACCAATTTAAATATATATTTATTGTTCTAAATAATTGATCTTCGAATGTCGTAGAGAAATCACGCTTCATAAATAAAAAAAAAAAAAAAAAAAAAAAAAAAAAAACCATTGTTCTAAGAAATGATCCTCGAACAAAAGAACGAAACCACGAGTCCATGATGCATCTCGAACGGACACGACTACTACTTAATGGAATTATTTTAGGTAATCAAGATATATGTATCAAATCTATTAGTCTACATGCTACATAGGTAAACTGAAATTTTTATGAGTGAATGAATATAAAATAAGAAAAATTGTGTAAGTAAGTTGTCAAAAGTGATGAGGAAAATCATACGAATTTGATAGGCAACACGTAGCTTTGTAAAACAGTGTGTTTCGACTTTCGATGAAAGTGAATGCCCAAAATCCGTGGATTGTCCTTTGGAGTCGTCCATCATCATGTAAGTTTGTAAAACAATGTAACGTCAAATTTTTTTATGACACAAAATAATAATTAAATTATTAATTGATAATTAAAAAAATATGCAGACCGTACAATTTGAATTTTACTATCATATTTTATTTTTATTATGTTATTCCAATTCCCTACTTTTGTGTACACTGAAATGGATTATGTACCGAAATAATTTTATCAAATAACGATAAATTCTAAATATTAATTTATTTTTAATAAATTAATAATGCCAGATAATCAACTAACAATCATGTTTAGATTCAACTTCTATTAAATTATAGTAAGTTATAACTACTACAAGTTCTTAGTAAATGAAAAAATGACATAAACAGAGAGCAACAGTACGATAATAATTACATACTTTACTAATTATTAATTCAAAAATTACTCACAAAGACCAAGAACGGTGTATATAAACTTTAATCATTGTAGAATGCATGAATTATAATTTTTTTAATGATTTTTTTCGTAGCTCCCGTGTATTTGTACAGATAAGTGTACTAGTAATTAAATTAATTGATAATTAAACAAAAATATGCAGACCGTACATGTAAAACTGAATACTCAGGTCTCTTATTCCAAAATAAATAAATAAATAAATAAATAAATCTTAGATTAATTAAACTGCAAACAACAAGCTTTGAATTTAATTTAAAATTTCAGCTAAAATAAATAACTACGCATTATACACTTATATTTATCTTTTTGTGAAAAAATGAAAAATAAAAAATAGAATTATAAACCCTGTTGCTCCCCAGCTGTATATGCTACTCTAGACGCTTGTACACACTTCAGCGCCTTCACTCAGCATGTCCCATCACTCTCTACCCCACCCTACAACAACTTCAACTAAATTCCAAAACTCTCCACATTATTCTTAAAAAATCAAAAAATAAAACAAAAAATAACACAATGCATGTTTGGATATAAAAATATTTTATTTTTTATTTGGTTTAGTTAATTTTAAAAAATATGGTATGGATAGTTGTTAGGGGGTATATTAAAATAATATTTAAATAATTAAAATTGATTTGATGTAAAAGTAGGAAAGATATGATTTGAAGTGATAATATGAGTAGATGAAAAGTGACTTAAGGTTAATGTGGTGTGTATGAATGATTGACATTATTTAATTATATTGATAATATTGATAATAGTGGGGTTGAATTAAAGTTATGTTAAAAAAAGTGGTTGAGTTAAAATGTTGGAATTTTTTTTAGATTTCTTGTATACAAACATAGTCCTTGATCTTTTTCATTTTAAACATGTTTCCTAAATATACATATCTTCATTAAAATATGTCATATTAAATATAAATAAAATACAAATTATCATAAGAGGTAATAATAAAAAATAAGGCAAAATATATTTTTAATCCCTTTATTTAACACCACAATAATTTTAATTTCAAGTTTTCACCTTTTCGCCTTTTAGTTTGTGATTTAATATTTTACTGTACTTTTAATCACTTGAAGTTGAAGACTAAAGTGCAATAAAATTTCATATTACAAGACTTAAATTGCAACAAAATTTCATATTACAAGACTTAATTTACCAATAAAAAATTCGTCAAAAGATATAAATCTGAGAATTTGACGAAAATTCAGTTCTCAAAGACTGAAATTGCAGCAAAATGTTAAATTTCATGACTAAAAGGCAAATTATTATAACCTTAAAAAAAATTGTCATGGCATTAAACTAGCAGGACTAAAAATGCAATTTAACCTACAATGAAATAGTTATGCTGTGAAATATAAAATCTTTATTTATAATATTTTTCTAAAGCATGACATTTCAATTCAATAGTATATATTTGTTTTAAATTTTTGTTTACATTATTTATCGAGGTAAGACATTTATGGCTCTCTAACAATTAAATATACCTAACATAATTTGAATGAAATGCCAATGACCTCTTGGCCTAGTGGTAAGAGTGAGGCACCCTTGACATGAGCTCAAGGGTTCGAGCCCCCCGGAGCGCAATGGTGGAACAATTAATACTGAGGACTAGAAGCGGCAGTGTGGGAGGCTGAAATTCGGTGGGAACCAGCGAGCGATCACTTCGGTGGGAACCAGCGGCTAGATAGGTGGGGCCAACTTGGAGCTGGGAGGGCCAGCGAGCGTTCACTTGGGGATCGACTCCTTGTGCGCGGTAGTTGAGGGTATTAAGTACCTGGGAGCCATTGTGTGGCTACCGCGGTTTAATTAGAGGCAGAGTCTGAGGGGCCGGAGCTGTTTCCTCGAGGACTTTAGAGGCAGAGTCTGAGGGGCCGGAGCTGTTTCCTCGAGGACTAGTAAGTTGAGGGTATTAAGTACCTGGGAGTCATTTTGTGGCTACCGCGGCTTAATTGGAGGCAGAATCTGAGGGGCCGGAGCTGTTTCCTCGAGGACTAGTAAGGCGCAAGCCTGGAACCTCGGTATAAAAAAATAAAATAAAAATAAAATAAAAATAAAAACATAACATTTAAAAGTATAAATATATATATATATATATATTATTAATATAATATGATAAATCGACCCCTCTAGGCTCTAACCATTAAAATGCTAGTCATAAAAAGTTGTGTTTCATTTTTTCCCTTTTCCCCCAAATGTCCCCAGCACAAATCTTTTTGGCTCTATAAAACAGACCCAAACAACCATCTTCTCTTCCCCTTCCTCCCTCACTCCCTTTGCTTTTAAGCACCATTAATTGTCTCTTCACTTTCCCCACACAAAAAAAATATTTAAAAAAAAAATTTAATTAGCTTAGACCCTGTTTGGCTTGAGTTGAAAATCCAAAGCCAATCTTAATGTTCAACTTCTCAGCAAATTTGATCTTTGATATTCATGTCTGCTATTTTGAATGAGCTCTTGCTCTGGGATTTTATGATAAAGAAGAATTCTACCTACAGGCTTAGGACTCATCTTGTTCAATCCTTCTCAGTTGTCTTCCTTTACTGGTTCTACTACATTTCATGATTATTTTGCCCCCTTTTTCAATTTCTCGTCTAGATTTAGCAGCTGTAATTTAAATAAAAATTATATTACGAACATAAATTCGAAAAGGAAAAAAAAATTGTAAGTAAATTAAGAAGGGGAAACTTAAAAGGAGAGAGAAAAAATCTGTGTTTGTGCTGATTTGCGATTCTGCCATGGATTCGTCGAGCGGCGGTGCGTCGTCGGAGAAGGCGGTGGATCAGAGGAAGAGGAAGAGGATGATCTCGAATCGGGACTCGGCGCGGCGGAGCAGGGCAAGGAAGCAGAAGCATTTGGACGATTTGGTGGCGCAGGTGGCGGAGCTGAGGGAGGAGAACCGCCGGATCCTCGCCGGTCTGAACGCCGCCGCGCAGAATTTCGCCGGCGTGGAGTCGGAAAACGCCGTGCTCAGGGCGCAGATGGCGGAGCTGAGCCACCGGCTGCGGTCACTGGAGGAGATTTTGGGGTTCCTCAGCGGAGGAGATCTCGGGGTGACTTTCGCGGCGGCGCCGGCGCCGGCGTATGGGATTTCCGAGCTGGCAGGGTTCGGCGGCGGTGGTGGTTTTTGGAATTGCTCGAGCCAGCCGATTATGATGGGGGCGGCTCCGGCGGATCCTGGGTTTCTGTACTGATGAATTTTGGGTTTGAGCGAAATTTAGTTTTTTCTTTTATTATTTGTGCTAATAAATAATAATTAGATTAATGTAGTGGTATTTGGTAAGGCTATGTTGGTAATTTCGAATAAATAAAACAGTGTGGGGCTTTTGAGGTTCGGTTGTTATGAGAGAAACTGGTTACCAAAGAACCTTAAACTATGTAATTTTAAATTAGTAATGTGATGTGAAATTATGGAATAATGTTTCTCATGTTATGTTTACTTTTTGCTTTGATTATTATTATTTTTGAGAAAGTTATTTATTATGTTTGAGCAAGTTATTGAAATTACATATAAAGTTAAAAAATTGTGAAGTACGACTGATACGACATATGATGTATTAGGCATCTAATTAAGTAAAATAATTAATCTATTTTGCTTAATATTAAATAAACATATTCTACACTTATGCATATACATATCACCATATTATTTCTATTTATTTAAGATATATATTTTTGTACTTTTGTAATAGTAAATAATATCGATATTTTTATATGATATAAGTAAACAAATTCAATACGGGTTGACATTTTCATTTAATGTACGGGTGTTTAATTATTATGATTAAGAAAATATAATCTGACAATTTAATTAAAACCCAAAATAATATTTTATATAAATTAAATTATTTTAGTTTTATTAATATTTTTCACAAAAACTTTCTAATTCAATACATGTGTAATACACGAGTATTTTACTAGTTGAAATTAATTGTGAAAGGCAAGTTGGATTGAATATAAATTATTTTGAATTTTACTGAATTTAATGGATAAAGTGAGTTAATATAAAAAACATATTGAGTTTTGGTTTGAATGAATTTTGGTTTGTATTTAAATAGTATTTAAAATATAATTATTAAAGTTGTTGTAATGTAAAGGTAAGAAATATGTGATTGAAAGTACTGATGAATTATGTGGATGAATAAATAGTAACTTAAAATTGATGTGATGTGTGTAATGATTGATTAGTATTATTTAATTATAATATCGAAAGAAAAATATGATTGAGTTAAATTTGAGATGAGTTTTGAGTTTAAAGAATTATCCGATCAACCATAATCCAATAAATTTATATGCACGCTTGTTTTTTCTTCCCTCAGATTTTGTACGCTTTTCTTTTTCTATTTTCTTTCTTAGTGTGGTTCTGAGGCAATTAGTTACTGTTGTTGTTGTTATTATTATTATTATTATTATTACTTAAGTAAATAAAGAAACATATAGGGAGCTTGCTTTTGGCTTTCCAAGAGTAAACGATTTAGAACTCATCAATTTGGAACGGAAAGCTAGAGAAGTAGAGAGATTGTTGGAGCATAAATATACACTTTTATCTAAAAAGGGCGACCATCGAGTAATGTGTAATTTTATTTAAAACTAATATTCGTGCGATGCACGAGAGTATTTATTACTTATTTGTTTTTTAAAAGGTATTTTTGTATTTAATTATCTCATGACATTAAAAATATCATGAAAATGAAAATTTATATGTTATTAAACACTTCCTTATGTACAACATTATTGGTTTGATTCGTTGACACATAAAATACTACATAGGTGTTCGAATTTTATGTAAAATTGTATATTATTAGTTATTAGTTAACAAATTTTAAAAAAATTAAAGGATCTTATTAGTTAAACTAATTATAGTAGAAAACAAGTAAAAATTTTTAGGGATTTTCACCTATTATTTATTTTAAATCTAATTTTAAATTTCAATCAAAAAAAATTTAAAAAGAATTATTAATTACTCCTGAAAATGAAACCGATTTTTCTACCAATAAACCGTTTTTTTATCAGACAAATTGATCCGAATAGTTTTTTAAACCAAATATAAAAATCATCAATTTTTCCTAAAAATGCAAACAAATTTTTCTAACATTGCACCAATTTTTTTTACCAAACAAATTGAATTGAAAATATTTCTAATAAAAAATTGAAATAATTTGTTAATGTTTATGTAACTGTCTCTTTCTTAAAGAAAATGATATGATTTTAACCAAAAAAAAATGATGCTAACTTAGCAATATCTCGGTAAAACATGGTTAAGAAAAAAAAATAAGAATTCAAAAAAATCGATGCATTTAAATTTAGAAAAATTGCACACAATTTTTCTAGATAATTGGATTAGGTGACTTTAAATATAAAAAATGAACCGCTTTTGTTACCAAAAAATGTGGATACAATTTTGAATGTACATCCCGTCAAATGCCAGTTTTATTTTAAAATAAAAATTGCACGTGATTTTATTCAATTTACACATTTTTTTTAAAGAAAAAATTATTCAATAAGATTGGAAGAATTGGTTAAGAATTATACAACTATTTGTTTCTAAATTTGTACGGTTTTTAAGTAAATTTGTATTTAGAATTGTTTTCATAAATAATTGACACATTTTTTGCATAAGAATCTCTAAATTTGTTACCAAAAGATATATGATTTAATTTTGGTAAAAAAAATAAAATATGTTACGAAAAAAATGGGATTCAAATTTTTCCATAAGAATCTCTAAATTAGTTACCTAAAAAATAGGATTCAAATTTTGTTACTAAAGATTCATATGTATTTTTTCGAACTTTCCATTAATAATAAGTCAAACATTATATTTATTTGGTCAAACTTTCTATTAATGTACTTTTCCAACAATCTCTTTATATATATATAGATAGATATAGATGTAGGAGGAGTTGGATAATATATACATTTTTATTTAAATCATATAACGGGTCTATTCAATTAATTTCCAGAATACATCACAATTTGTGTAAGAATTATGGTTTTTCTAACACTTTTTAACACCTCAAGGGAGATGTAATATGTAGACCTTGCGAAATGTATCTCCAACATTTGAATTTTTTTTTTTCAAACCGCAAATACTATTAAATTAAACTCAAACAGAGTATAACCAGTAATCAGCTGGTTGCAAAAGAATATCCTAACTGTCAAGTAATAGAAGAAATGAACAACGATGAGTCTTTTTAGCCTAAAAGCTCCCCTCAACATGGATTGACCTTAACACAAACTCAGTAGACAAACATGATAAAAACGTCCATAATGGAAACTAAGCCGCGGGACACATGGAGCAAAAAAAAGGGTATAAAGAAGATTAAAGCTCCACCAAGGAAGACTAACAATCAAACAAACATCAAATTAGCAAACAACTTAATTAACTAAAATCAAACTAAAGTCCTCCCTAGCAACCAACACCAAAAAACACCGACCTTCAAGACAACCACGGAGAGAAAAACAGATCACCAAAGCAATAAACTCAAATCTAGGCACCCCAAACTCCACACTTCAAGTGACTATGACTAAGGCGCTACTCATATCTGAAGTCAACAAGTCGGATCCACTATTCAAACTCAGCAACTAAACAACTGACGGCGACTAGACGAGAGATACACCGACACCATCCCTTCAACTGCGACACCCGAACACCGACCACCGAAAGAAAGGTGGGATCTAACTCCGCCTCAATTGGCTCCAACAGGGCCGATCGAAAGCCGCAGACACGAAATGGGCAACGACTCCAACGTCTACCCTAACAAGTCCCGAAAATAGTAAGTTTGATTATTATTATTATTATTATTATTATTATTATTATTATTATTATTATTATTATTATTATTATTATTTATATTTTTTGTGCTTATAAATCATCAAGTCCGATAGACCGATACTGAGGGTATGTTTGATTACAAATAAACTTACTCCATATTCAATGCGTACTCAAAATCTAACACAGCTTTAACTTAACCACAATATCTCAATATTATCAATATAATTAAATAGTACAAATAAATAATTTTATACATCACATCAACTATAATTTACTATTCATCTACGCACAAAAATTTAACTAATCATCACTTCACACCACACCTCTCATACTTTTACATCAAATCAACTTTAGATATTTACTTTAAATATTATTTCAATATAAACTCAAAATCCCACTAACAACTAACCATACCATTTTCTTTTAAATTAACTCTAATTAATAAAAAAAACTCATTTTGAGCGGATATATTTATATCCAAGCACGCCCCAAGTTTCTCGAAGCATAATTCTATGTGTCAATTTATTGTATTTTATAAGTGTATCAAATTCAAATGTTACTAGGCGTTGCCACGGGTCACCCGGCCCGGACAAACCCGTTGACCACGAGTCCGAGCCGACACGGAAAAACACATTGTTTTTATATTTTTTCTTTTTGTTTTTTTTTGTTTTTTTTTTTTTAATTTGGGTGGGCCCAAACCCAGGTCGGGCCGTTCAGGTCCATGTAAGCCAACCCTTCGGCCAGCCTTTTGGCCATGTCTAAATGTTAGGCATAACTTGTAGTAGGTCCACTTATGGTGCTACGTAAGCTTGTCTAGTTCTAATGGTTGCGAGTAACTTAAGGGTTTGGACTTTTACCCATAAATGTTATTGGACATTAGAAAGAATAAAACACTTGGTCCATTTAGATTGGAAATATATTTGAAAAGTTAATTTTTTTTATTTGTTATTAATTTTTTTATATATGATATATCAAATTAATAGTCTTTTAATGATATTCAATTTGACATGTTGCATATATAAAATAAAAAATATATCTATTTTTATAAACAGAATTACATAAAAATAACAGTGTAATTTATTAAAAAATATATTTAAAAACTTAAAATAAAAATTTATGATTTTATTTATATTTTAGATGTTATAATTTTAATTAATACTCGTACAATACACGGGCATTATACCACTAGTAGTATATTTATCACAAAAAAATTAGAAGCTATATAATAATCAATTAATCAAATTAGTACTGAATACTGATACATAAAAATATTTTATTTAATATTATGTTAGGAGAAGAGTAACATATAAATTAACATTAATTAACATGGTGGGTCAGAAATCTAGCTGAAGACGCTCGCGTGCGGTGCGGGGACAATCTCTTTAGGTACAAAAGTACAAAATAACCTAATATGTATTATGATAATAATTATAAATGTTACACTGATGTACATATATCTTTTTTTATATTACCATGCATTAATCAATTCAAAATTATATTATTTATTTATATATTTATTTATCTTCTTAATATTTCCAACAGAACTTAACAAGAAGATTCTAGGTATGAATATAAATTTAATTTAAAAAAGCATCTTATTTTACTTGTATAGTATTTGATGTTGCACATATATAACCAAACAGACTCTTTGCGAATCTACAGTGGCGCTCAAAGTAATAGTAAAACAGTTAAAAAGAGTAAAAAATAAAATTACAGCATCAAATAGAAAAACAGCCAAGAATAAAATTATAGCGTCTCAGAATAGTAAAACAGTTCAAATAGAAAAAAAATGGTAAAATGCACGCTTCTTTCTTTCTTTCTTTTTCTTTTTCTATTTAATTTGGAGAAAGAGCCAAGAATGGGGCTGCAACTTGGCTTCTTAGAATAAAGACACACAAATATTCTTTAAATCCCAATATCTTCTGCACCCTTGTTTCAAGTAAAAAGAATAAAAAACTAAAAATAAAATTCCCTAAAGATGCTAGGTGAAAAATATTAATCAAACCCCACTTCCACTTGCTCTAGTTAACCCTAATTTTATTTTTAATTTCATTCTTATAAGAACAAACCTTTTTCTAAAATGAATAAGGCTGTGATGTTCTTATTCAAAATGTAATGTTGCAGAATCAAGGTGTAAACTTCATTAAAGATCTTGAATAAATAATTTGGTGTATACGAATTACTTATTTGATGCGGAAGACGACATGATTTGTGATCTTGATCTTGATGATCACACGGGGTTGAATCGACTGATAGATCTAAATTAGTTTCTCCCTCCTGACCTTCTCTTAACGTAGCAGAAAACTGATGGGAAAAACTGCGTACCCTAATAGGAAGAGAGAGGACTAATTTATATAGAGGTGGCTTTAGATCTGGTACGTCCATCAAGTATGCAGATTAATGGCTTAGATTTGTTTGACTATTAAATAAAGGCCTAGCCCAATAGGATAATTAAATGTGAGCCCAATGCTTTCGGGCCACATATATTCTTACATTATCCCACTTGGTCCGAAAGCCCTTAATTTAATATTATAACATTAGGTGCACAAAAACAAATCGCATTATGCCATACATCATAATAAACGTTGACATGATAAATCATAAAGTGAGAGTTATGACGGTTGTACACTCTCGATTCGCATACTTCCTTCCATATACTACTACACTAACAGCTTAACACATCAAGTTTCGTAATTATATGTATATATATATATATATATATATCATAATGTCCACTTAATTGTCATGAAGACTTTCATTTCTTGTTCTAAACATAATGTAGACAAAATCATAATGAACAAGAAATTCGATAATAGTCAGAAACATAACATCAATGAGCTCAAGAGTGTGCCATAACATCATTATAATCAATCATCAATACAACCAAGACTCATTCTATGTACATATTCTTTAATGTCTTTGGTTGTAGACCTTTAGTGAACGGATTTGCAATCATAAGGTTCGTTCTTATATGTTCAATGCACACTCTTTGTTTCTGAACTTCCTCCTTAACGGCAAAATACTTTAATTCTATGTGTTTTGCATTCTGGGAATATTTGTCGTTCTTGGAGAAGAAAACTACTGCGGAATAATCACAATACATTTTCAGCGGCTTGGTAATGGTGTCGACAATCCCAAGTCCCGAAATAAAGTTCCGCAGTCATAATGCGTGAATTGCAGCCTCATAAAAAGCTACAAATTCAAACTCCATAATAGATGCAACTATGACAGTCTGTTTGACACTTTTTCATGAAATTGCTCCTTCGGCAAGGAGAAACACATAGCCAAACATTTACTTGCGACTGTCAAGGCACCCAACAGAATCTAAATCTGAATATCCAATCACCTCAAAGTGATCAAATTTCCTAAACGTGAGCAGATCCTTCGTCCCTCGAAAGACATCATCAATATATAGAACCAAAAATATAAACTTACTCCCACTGATCTTCTGGTAAATACACCGATCAACAGTGTTTTCTTGAAAACCAAAAGACATAATAGTATCGTTAAACTTAAGATATCATTATCTGGAAGCTTGTTTAAGTCCATATATTGACTTCATACGTTTACACACCATGTGATTCTTTCCTTCTATAGAAAAACCATCGGGTTGATCCATATAAACTTCCTCATCTAAGTCCTCATTAAGAAAGGCTATTTCACATTCATTTGATGTAACTCTAAATCATACTGAGCTACTAAAGCCATAATGATTCTTAAATAATCTTTCTTACAACAGATGAAAAAGTTTCCTTATAATCAATGTCATCTTTCTGAGTATAACCCTTGGCAACAAGTCTAGCTTTATGTCGTTCGATATTGCCACTCGAGTCGCGATTGGTCTTAAAGACCCATTTACACCCAACTCGTTTTGTACTTTCTGACAATTCTACTAGATCCCAAACATTGTTTTTAGCCATAGAGTTTAACTCTTCTTTCATAGCATCAATCCATTTATGAGACTCGTCACTGTTAATTGCTTGTGAAAATGAAACAGGATCTTCATCAATGCTAGTATCATAATCCAACTCTAGCAAATAAACCACATAATCATCCGAAATAGCAGATCTTCTCACCCTTATAGGTTTGTTTAATGCTATTTCACGTGGTTCATTTATATTAGTTGGTGGCAAGTTAGTTTCTTCATGGGGTACTACTTCATCCAAATTTTGTTCACCATTATTTTGTTCTTGAGGTTGTGGAACAATATTTGGAACAACCGTGGACATTGGAACATTAATGGGTAATGGAATATCAACCCTTATTTCATTAATTTCCACAGTCGCTTTAGCACTCCCACTAACTTTATCGTTTTCAATAAACCTAGCATTGCCCGTTTCAACGATTCTAGAACTATGATTAGGACAGTAAAACATATACTTTTTGGACATCTCTGGGTAACCAATAAAGTAACCACTCACAGTTCAAGAATCCAATTTCTTTTCATGTGGGTTGTATACTCGTGCTTCTGCTGGACAACCCCAAACATGTAGGTGTCTCAAACTAGGTTTCCTTGCAGTCCATAACTCAAAAGGAGTTTTAGGAACAGCCTTAATGGAAATCCTATTTAGCAGATACACATCAGTCTTAAGTGCATACATCCACAAAGATTTGGGTAATGATGCATTACTTATCATGCTCCTAACCATATCAATTAACGTTCTATTTCGCCTTTCCGCTACACCGTTTTGTTGAGGTGTGTCTGGCATAGTATACTGTGCACATATGCCTTGTCTTTCGAGGAACTTAGCAAATGGACCAGGATTTTGTCCCGATTCATCATACCTTCCATAGTATTCACCACCTCTATCAGACTTTACTATTTTCACCTTTCTGTCTAACTGCCTTTCAACTTCATTAATGAAAACCTCAAGTGCATATGCAACTTGAGATTTTTCCTTGAGCAGATAGACATAACCATAACGTGAAAAATCATCTATAAAGGTAATGAAATACTTTTCACCATTGAAGGATGGAGCATCAAAAGGTCCACATATATCGGTGTGTATAATTTCAAGAAGCTGGCTGCTTCTTGTGGCTCCTTTTTTGTTGTGTTTGGTTTGCTTTTCCTTAATGCAATCCACACACAACCCAAGATCAGTAAACTCTAGAACCAAAAGAATCTCATCTTTCACCAACCTTTGCATTCTTTCTTTGGATACATGACCCAAACGCTTATGCCACAAGAAAGCAGAGTTCTCATTTGCTACACCACATTTAATTTCAATGTTTTGATGAATACACATCAATGATGCAGAAAAATCAACATCAAGTTTCAGTTATATAAACCATCCATAAGGATACAAGAACCAATAACGGAATCATGTTTATTAATTAAACTGAAACATCCATTTCCAAACTTTAAGGAAAAAACCCAAGAACATCAAGTCTAGAAAGAGACATTAAGTTTCTAGAAAATGAAGGTACATAGAGAGTTTGCAAGAGATCTAGGTGGTGCCCAGAATCTAAAACAATACGACAAGTCCCTAAGCCTTCAATTGGGGCCTTCATATGGTTCCCCATAAACAAAAAGTTCTTATTTTGGGTTTATGCTATGGATTGTAAGGAATCTCTGCATCACATTAGAAACGTGAATTGTAGCACCATAATCCAACACACAAGTATTTGAAGGAACTTCAGACAAGTTTGATTCGAAACATACAAAGATATTGGAAATATCTTTCTTTTCAAACCAAGACTTGCGTTTCAGGCAATCTTTCTGTATGTGTCATTCTTTCTTACAGAAATAACATTTATTTGCCTGATTTTCCTTCTTTCTGTCATTAGTGACCTGTGAAACTTTAGCAGGTCCCTTCTTCTTAAACTTGTTGGATTTCGGTTGGAGAACATTATTAGCTCCCTGACCCTCAAGGTTGACCGTATGAACTCCTTGTGCCTTAAGTCTCGTCTCCTCCTGAATAAGATTACTGGCCAGTTCATTAACATCCCACTTATCCTTAATAGTGTTATAGTTAGTCTGGAAAGGCCCATATTCAGGAGGCAGCGAGTTAAACATAAATTGCACCAGAAATGAGTCATCCAAAGTCATGCCCAGGGACTTAAGCCTTGCTGCAAGATTAGTCATGTCAAGAACATGTTGCTGCATAATACGCGACCATCATACTTTATGATCGTGAGTTCAGCCATAAGTGTTCTTGCCAATGACTTATCCGCGGAACGGAAACATTCTTCCACAAGCAAAAGGTATGCTTTCGCATCCACGTTATCGGAAAGAGTTGACTTGATGTTGTTGGCAATCGTCATTCGCATAAAGCTCAAACATAATCTGTTAGACCTGTCACAAGCCTTACGGTTTGATTTCTCAGACTCACTACTTTGATCATTAATGTCAGCGGGCTTTTCATCAAGCAGAGCCAAGTCAATATCCAAAACACCTAAATGGAAATTGACTTGCTCACGCCATTCAGAGAAATTCAAATCATTGAAGACAGTAACAGAAGAAGCTTGCGAATGAAGAGAGACATGCACAATCATAATTGCTCACTTAATTAATAGATTCAGAAAATACATTCATAACATATATTGCAGGCCTCCTTTGGGTAAACTCAACAATACATATCATCATCATAAGTCGAATGTCATTTAACACTTAATGAGAAATTAAATAAACTTCGTCTAACATACATAGTATCTTTGGATATCTATATACGCTCGACAAAAGGATATTATATTTCTCCTTAATGTTTATTAGTTATATAACATTGATTCACCTTTGGGTAAATCCATAATTTCTAACAACCAATAAACTCATTATCTTAAATAATGACATTCTCAAGAGAACATGAATTATATGACCAAACATTAGAAAATTAATTCGGCCACTTTGGTGACTAACGAATTAATTTTCTCTTAATGTCATATAATAAACAATTATAACGATAAAATTATATGACCGAATATTAAAAATTAATTAGGCCACTTTGGTGACTAACAAATTAATTTTATCTTAATGTCATATAATTGCAAATAATTGTGACAATAATATTATATGACCAGACATTAAAAAATTAATTAGGCCACTTTAGTGACTAACAAATTAATTTTATCTTAATGTCATATAATAAAACATTCATAACGATAAATTATATGACCGAACATTAAAAATTAATTAGGCCACTTTGGTGACTAACAAATTAATTTTGCCTTAATGTCATATAATATAATAAGCATTATAAATCCCAACTTAATATGCAAATATAAGCATTCCTTTATGTGCATAATCTCATAAGGCACCAATCCAAATAAAACATGATAATTGCATAATACATATTAATGGGATATAGCATACATATTTACCAGGTTAACAAAATCCCATCAGGTCAATTCTCATAAATTCAGTCATCATCATAATAGCAAAGCTCCAGGAAATAATTCTCATAAGAGAACAATGATGTGGCAATATATTTTGGTCACCCAGCAAATAATTATCCAAGCATTGAAATTCAAGAATGGAGATGTTAGTGATGCATAAAATTTGTGAGTTTGATGCGTAATTCACAAATATATATATATATCTATATATATATATATATATATATATATATATATATATTAGGTTTCAGACGGAGAATTCATCATAAGTGGAATCAAATTTCATATAACATAAGATTGATGCGAACAGAATATGCATCCAGTACGATCGGACAAAATATTTAAGTCATCATACGATCATACTCATGATTCATACACAAATTATTTATTCACAACACATGCTCTGATACCACATGTAAACTTCATTAAGGATCTTGAATAAATAATTTGGTGTATACGAATTACTTACTTGATGCGGAAGACGACATGATTTGTGATCTTGATCTTGATGATCACACGGGGTTGAATCGATTGGTAGATCTAAATTAGTTTCTCCCTCCTGACCTTCTCTTAACGTAGTAGAAAACTGATGGGAAAAACTGCGTACCCTAATAGGAAGAGAGATGACTAATTTGTTTATAGGTGGCTTTAGATCTAGTACGTCCATCAAGTATCCAGATTAATGGCTTAGATTTGTTTGACTATTAAATAAAGGCCTAGCCCAATAGGATAATTAAATGTGAGTCCAATGCTTTCGGGCCACATATATTCTTACACAAGGTTCTTAATTATGAGCCCATATTAGCTCCCTTTTTCACAAACCCTTGCCACATAATTATTAAAATTTCCTCTTGGAAGGAAGTTAAGATTTTTTTTATGTGGTAAATTTTGTGATTGCACAAACTAAAATAAAAATAGAAGGTAAAAGCCTAATAATCCAATATAGATATACTATTAAGCTATAAAACTAGCTTAATTTGTTTATTAGAACCCAACCAAGACTACAACCTAGAACTAGCTACATGCATGCACATGCATATTACAAATTGATTTTCAATTTCATTGTTATTCGGCATTTTTAACCATTGGATAATCGTAATTGTTTAATAGATTTGCATATTTCTACGTTGAAATGTCTTAATTTAATAAATATTATAAAAAAAGGTACGACATTCAACACTATAAATATGTACTTCTGTTCAAATAGTCCAATAGCTCGATTATATAGTCAAAAGGAGGAATGTGATTGATTTCGCAAGTCATTGTTGGGTATTATTGGTAAAGAAAGTCTAAAGCACATTTGTCCTTATTCATTACATGATGAGGAAATTTTGGAAGAGAGATATGAGAAAAAAAAAGGTAAAAAATAAAAAATAAAAGTCAAGTTACATGAATAATGCTGCTGGGCATCTTGTTTTCTATCATTGGATTTTCTGNAGTATACTATGAAATTTCATACTTTTATTAATATTGTTTTTTTAAAGTACAACTTCTTTGTATGAAATTATGTATATTTGTTGGAAAAATATGGTTATCTTATCATTAATTGGCCTAACAGAAGACTTACCGAAAGTCCAAATTATGATAATCTTAAAATTTTTTGGAAAGCTTAAATATTAATATTAATATTAAGATAAAGAAAAGTACTCCAATCAACATCTAATCCAGCTATCTTGATTCTTATGTAATATGCCAAGACAAATTGCAGATAAAAAAAAGAGCACCTGAGTATCAATATCAATAAATTTGTAGGTTGTAATTATAAATAAAGTCAAAAATAAAATTTTATAAGTAACACTATAAAAACAACTATACTTTTCAAAAGATAAACAATTCTTCAAAGTTGGTTTATCATACTATAAAAAATAAGGTAAATAAAATTATAATATTTAATAATATAAATATTTATTTTCATTATAAAAGCATGACCGATCGACCTGCATAACGATTAGACTTGATATCATAATTTTTTCTTAGAAAAAAAAAAAAACTTTAATATAACAATATGAAAGCCTTTCGGTGTATTATATCCCCACTTTTGACTTTCGGTCTTTCAAACAAATTAATTTATTGACAGCTATTTATGTTGTATCCTAAAATTGCATTATTTACAATAGCAGGTGTATAGATTATGATGTGCCTTATGATGAACATTCTTTCTCATAGTTTTTTCAATATAAAAGGTAAGTGTACGCATGGAAGTTCTTAATGAGATTATGATGGCCAGTGGCCAGCCATGACCTTCAATAATTCAAGAAGAAAGGCATAAAATGAGATTTATCTTTTCCCCCCAAAACATTGATTATTGGCATTAATAATAATAATAATAAAAAAAAAATGACTCGTTGTGAATTGTCGAACATCTTATTTGTAAGTAAAAATAAAAAGTTTACAATTTAAAAATTAATCAAATTCTTTTACAAAAAACAAATTTATTAACTTTGAAAGACACATTCAAACATATATAAAGTATAATTGTTTAATAAAAGCTGACTAGTTAGATCAATTTTGATTCATCAAATCGTTTGGTGCTTTTTGTACCTATGAATAACATACCACAATATAGATTGATAGTTTTTGTATTGAAAAATAACCATAACATATATACCACAATAAAATTGATATATATATAATAGAAAATAACCATACCACAATAAAGAAGCATGGAGTACTCAATTTATACATGACTCTTATAACTGAGTGATATAATTCGATACACAAAATTGTAAAATATGATTTATAACGTTGAAGTAAATTAATGACCATTTTTCCTAATAATTTTTATAATTGGAAAAAGCATCTACTAACTAATCAAATTAAAAACATTCTGACCAAACATGTCTGTCAATTAGTGTATATTTTTTGCCATTAGTTAGTCTTAACTTTACTTATACATTTTTTTTGGTACTTTTGGATATATTGTACGCGATTATTATTTATTAGCGTATATTTTTATTTGTTAGTGGGTAATTTCTGAAATAGCAAAAGTTACTAGATAAATTTATCATCAACCACTAATTATCATGCATATTATTTTATAATTTTTAAAAAACCAGGTTACGTGATCAATAATGATATATTCCATATATAAATGATCCGTATGTATAAGAAAAACATGAAACAAAATAGAGAATAAAAAAATAAAAATAAAAACTACTTTTTCCCCAAAATATTTGGCTTCCCCATGAAAATCCCGGTTTATACTGAAATGAACAAGCCAAAAAACCTAAGCCAACTGCAAAAGAATAATTTGGTGAAAATTTGGCCCCACTAGGGTTCATGTTTTTGCTCAAATAGTCTATATAGTTTACTATTAAAATTTTAATCTAATCTTCTTGAAAATATCTTATGAAGGTGATGAAGTTCGACGTATGGGCATCGTCGAAATTTTCCAATTGAAAATTAATCTTTATTATTTATTTTTTATTTTTCGTTTTTAATCCATAATAAATGTAATCTCATACTTCATAGTCCTAGCAAGTTGA